AATCTGTCAGTACCATAATGAGCATCCTAATATTAAGCATAAAGAATTGGCTACTATTTTCAAAATTGAAAACAGCCGTTCTACAATAACCAAGATTTTAGCGAACAAGGAAAAATGGCTAAAGGAAGACACATTTGGTAATGCGGGGCAAAGAGTAAAAATACGTGCTGAAAAATACCATAAAACAAATGAAGCACTTAGTCTTTGGATAACTGCCGCAATGGAAAATAGGTTAATTCTTAGTGGAGCGATACTTCAAAACAAAGCATTAACATTTGCTATGAACTTTGATGATGAAAAAGATTTTAAAGCAAGTGAGGGGTGGCTCGAAGCCTTCAAAAAAAGGCATGGAATCAGATCTTATATTCTTCATGGAGAATCCAATAGTGCTCCATTGGTTGACTTACCTGAGGCACGTTCAATACTTCAAGATATTATCTCGCAGTATGATCCAGATGATGTGTATAATGCCGATGAAACTAGTATATTTTATCGTCTACTTCCAAACCGTACTCTTTCTACTACTCAAACTTCTGGAACAAAAAAAAACAAAGAACGAATTACCATCCTTTTTGCATGTAATTCGACAGGCTCACATAAGATTAAACCCCTTGTCATTGGTAAGGCTGCCCGGCCTATAGCACTTAGATCCTTAAATATGAATAACTTACCCGTAACATATCAATCGAATGCAAAAGCCTGGATGACTAGTGAAATCTTTAATAAATGGCTCAAGACTTTAAATACTCAAATGATAAGTCGAAATAAACAAATCCTCCTCTTAATTGACAATGCCTCATATCATGGTAAAAACCACAATCTTAGCAACGTGACAGTCAAATATTTCCCACCCAATATGACATCTCACTTACAACCGTTAGATGCTGGTATCATTGCCGCATGCAAAGCTTGGTATCGTCGCTTCCACCTATCACATCTGGTTGACCAATATGATGGCAAGGTTGAAATGGCGAAGGTCTCTATTAAAGATGCAATTTACTTTCTTGCAGACTCATGGAATCAAATTACTTCGGAGACGATCCACAATTGCTGGAAGCATGTGAGAATCATGGATACAGAATTACCATTATTGCCACCAAACATCAATGTTGAAAGTGACATTTATACAGATATTACGCACTTAATTAATCAGCTTGATATTAATCCTGAGATTCGGATGTCTACAGAGCAGTTTCTTGAAATGGATTCTGCTATTGCAAGTCATGAAATCATGTCTGATATGGAAATTGTGGAGGAAGTTTTGTGCCGCTCTAATCCTTTGCCACCTGAAAACAATTCTGAAGACGAGGTAGCACCATTGCCAATGACTGCGATGCAAGGAAAAAAATGCTTGAAGGCACTCTTTTGTGGTGTGAACAGCAGGACGAAGTGGAAATTAATGCAGAGTTTTTAAAAAAACTTAGGCAGCTAACACGAAAAGCTACATTAAAGGTAGCACAACAAAAGAAACAACAGAATATCAGTTCCTTTTTTGATAATGAATCTTAATTACCGTTACATGTTAATAATAAAAATAAATACATTACCGTTACGAGAGTATTTTTACATATACAGTATAATGATTACTTGAAAATGAAGTTGTGTCTGATATATCGAAAATTTAATTCTAAGAGAAAAAGAAAATCGATGTACTTATGTTAGCTGCATTTATTCAATCATAATAAATGTTTTTGTATTATCCATTTTTTCAAAAGTCACCTTTATCTAAAATCACCAATATTTATTTGTCCAAATGAGGTGACTTTAGACAGGGTTGACTGTATATATATATATATCCTTCATTTGTGAATTTATCAGTTTTCTCACAGATGTCATATCCAATTATCTGAATTTTGTTCATATTTAGTTAGGCTGCATAAAAATAGGACCTCTGATCTTTCTAATGATCATGAGCTAAAAACAGGTCAAAACAGAAAAGATTGCATAAGAAAAGACTTCTGGTCTAACTCCAATAATAAGTTCACATTCCTTCTGGCATGGCAGACTCAGTAATATAACATGTTAATATAAAATAGGGAGTCTTGAAGAAAGTACTTCCCTAGACACTAACATATGATATAAGTGATAGGTTCACACTATCTATATGTAGAAGTTGCGTCCTGCATGGTATTTATATTTTAGATTTGGTAGATTAAGCCAATCGAATTTCCTTGAAGTATCTATTAGAAGAATATGATATTATACTCCACTTAGCATTTATATCTCTAAATTTGATAACTTGTGCTAATCAAGAATTACAGTTTTGGAGCATTTACTAGGAGATATATACACATATGAAATCTTCATTTATAATTGCATGGCCCAAGTGGCATAATGTAATAGATAATCTATTAAGTATTAATATATATTCCCTCAAGATATCTTTCAAAAATGAATTAACAGGTTAGGTGGTTTAAAACTGGTGGCAGGATTTTCATTTCCTATATTATCTCATCTGACATGTGGGCCTCACTCTGGTATAAAAAGTTTATATAGTTGGATTATATAGGTGGATTAGTTGTGATTAAAAACTTATAGTTAATAGTAATATTAGTATATATAAGACTGTTCAAATACAGTAGGCATTATAAATATCCAGAATTTTTTATGGTAAGTAAAAAAAATTTTTTTTTTTTATTAATTATCATTGAAACTTCGTATATACATAGTCAAATATGATTACTAATTAAAAAAAATTCTTTTAATTATTTAGCTTCCCCTCCTCTCGATCAATTATCTCTAAAACATGATTTTTTATACATGTTGCTAATGTAAGAAATAGGTCTTTATCTAATTCATCCCACGCCCGATGGATAATTTGCTGAAAAATATTATTCGAAAGATTTTTTTTTTTATTAAACATAAGTTTGATTCTTTTTCAACCTTGCCTTTAAGTATTGCCCATAAATTCTTGATTGGGTTTAGGTCAAGTGAATAGGTAGGCCAATCAAGAATTCAAATGCCTTGGTCTTCGAGAAGACAATGCATTTTTTTTGAATTATGAACAGGAGAATTATCCTGTTGAAAATAAAACCTGCAGCGAGCTAACCTAGAAAATTGAGGAAAAAAATGAGTTTCAAGAATTTCTTGGTATTTAGTAGAATTAAAATTTTCTGTGAATAAAACTAGCGATCGGGCCTTATGCCGAAAATGCACCTCAAGCATGAACTTTGTAGGGATGTTTCACCATACTTTGGTGTGGTCGTGACTTCCCACAATGGTATCTTACTAACTGTGTATTTCTAAACATCTGAAAGATTGTTTCGTTAGAAAAAATCGTGTGGTGCCAGTCATGGTCAACATGATCTTGAGCCCATTCAAGATGAGCAGCGACGTGGTGAGGCTGGAGAAGAGGAACGGCAACCGGACGACAAACGACAAACTGAAGGGCTTGTTTTAATGTACATTGAACAGTACGAACAGAAACCTTCAGGTGGGGATTTTTAAGGACAAGTCTTTCGACCATTTTAGCTGCAGTAGCAGCTTTATTGGTCTGCACGATCCGACCAAGGTGACGAAGTTATGGGGGTGTGAAAATTGTGGGTCTTCCAGGTATAGGAAGTGGTGTAACGAAAGATCTTTTTTTAATTCGATTGATTATATTATATACTGTGGACTTTGGATAACCTGTTATACGAATTATTTCTGCAGGTTTTCGGACATTATCTGCCCAAAGCTGACTTACGACCATTCTTTGCGTTTCGGGCTTCGATAAAGATAACATTTACATCGATTTTTTTTTTTAATAGCTATAAAAAAAATTTTTTTCAAATACAAGTCATGTAAACATATTCTTACTTTAATTAAAATTTATGTTATATAGGTTGTTGTTTTATAAAATGATGCGTAACATAACTTTAAATGTGCTAGATCAAAATTCCGGATATTTATGATGCCTACTGTATATGGCTTGAATATAATATTCAATAAAAACCATAGTATTGAATGTCTGTTCACCTAACAAAAAAAAAATAATAATAAATAATAAATTAAATTGAAAAATTATTTTAAAGTTTATTAAAATTTTTAAATAATTATTATTTTAAAACAAAGATTAATAATAATATATTTTTATAAGCAAATAATATTAAATATATAATTTTATTAAATTTTATTTATTTTTTTTATTTTTTTTTTTTACACCTAATCAGGTTGTATATTCAAGTTTATTTATATTCAAACTAGTTTACAAACTATGGGTTTGAACTAACCCCAGGTACAAATGGATAGACAACTAGTATCTGACAGATCTATACTATAGGTAAAGATGGGTCCCTAAAGTATTTAGCATATAAAATTTACGTCCCTTTACGTCCACGTCCCCTAGAGGAC